ACTTCAGCTGTTTGTGTAGGGAAACAAGCACATTTTGGCTGTTTGTGTAGGTAAACAAGCACACTCCAGCAGCAAACATGTTTTTAGTTTAAATGTGCAGATTCTGTTCTGGGGTTTAAAACTGATTCTAGACGTTTAATGTTTTAAGGATTCAATTGAGAGAAGTTTAACTTTAACTCAACATTTAATTTTCCTCCTGTTGTTCTGAATCCTCGTTTTGTTTCAAGCTCGTGTTTTCAGGAGTCTCGTCCCGACCGAGCTCGTCCTCAGTATCTGTTAACGGTTTCTCACCTCCACCCAGCTCCTGCTGCAGCCAAGCTGCTGCTACGCCTCTGACCCCTCCCCCATCTCACCCCCCCCCCACACAGGAGGAAGACTGAGAATTCTGTCAACCCACAAGCCTCTTCCTGCATCTCGACACGACAAACTCTGATCAGAAACTGCTGCAGCGCCGCTGCTGCAACAGCTGCTGTAGCTGCTGCTGCTGTAGCTGCTGCAATAGCTGCTGCTGCTGTAGCTGCTGCTGTAGCTGCTGTAGCAGCTGCTGCTGCTGTAGCTACTGCTGCTGTAGCTGCTGCAATAGCTGCTGCTGCTGTAGCTGCTGCTGCTGCTGTAGCTGCTGCAATAGCTGCTGCTGCTGTAGCTGCTGCTGTTGTAGCTGCTGTAGCTGCTGCAATAGCTGCTGCTGCTGTAGCTGCTGCTGTAGCTGCTGTAGCAGCTGCTGCTGCTGTAGCTACTGCTGCTGTAGCTGCTGCAATAGCTACTGCTGCTGTAGCAGCTGCTGTAGCTGCTGTAGCAGCTGCTGCCGCTGCACTCCGGTCATTGGTCTTCTCTCTATACGAGCAGAACGCCCCGACAGTTTCAGTTCAGTGAGTAAATTTAGGTTCATTGCTTTGTGGAATAAAAACAAGTTTCACCGTCACCAGAGGCTGTCTGTTAGCAAAATATCTCCTGAACCACTGGAGCCTCTCTGAGCGGCCCTGTCTGATACGTTCGTGCTCTCTGGCGTTAACGGTTTGACTCTTAAAGACGACGTCTCGCTCACGGTGACGTTTGCGATCCTTGAAACAATCCGCCCGACGGCGGCGGTGACGTGAGCGAGACGTTTGGACCGTGAGCCACGCTCCTGGTTTTTATTTTAGAAATATTCAGGTAAAATCTGGTTTGGTAGTAGCCGACAGTTGCTCCCAAACGTGGCATGAGTGTTTGAGTGAGGCGGCTCTCAGTGTGATGAGGGGCGGCGGGCGATAAGCATTCCCTCCTTTAGTTGTTGTAAAGTCGACCCGTCTGAGCAGAAAACTACTTCCTGAATCTTCTGCCGGGACAGAACTTTCCACCCAGACGTGGGCCGCAGCTCTGAGTAAAGGAACGTTTTTAACCCCCCCCCCACACACACACACACTCACACCATCTGCCCAGAAAACACAGGAGAATACGCATCTTCTGGCCCCTGGATCTCCAAACTCCAGATACTGAGGAGTCCAAGCTCAGCAGAGCAAATCATCTGCACCAGTGACCTTTGACCCCCCCCCCCCCCCCCCCGGTCCTTCCTCCTTCTCCCTTCGCACGCCTGGGTGTCTGTGGCGCCCAGCTCCTGGCCCGGCTCCGGAGAACGTGGCGTGTTGCGACAGAGCCGCCTGTTCGCTTCCCGCTGTTAGTTCCAACTGTGTGGAGCCATCTGTCAGTAAAACAGGAAGGCCCAGGTCCCCCTCCCCCCACTCCCCCCGGGCCCGGTTCGCTATTTTCAGGAGCTTCACTTCTCCCTGTGTGGCTGCTTGGACCAGGCAGCGGCGCCACCACGGGCTTCTTGAAGTGTCGGAGCTGCCGGGCCCATCTGCTGCAGGCTTCGGGGTCATTCATTATTAATGGGGCGGCGAGCGCCGGTGACTCCTCAGATATTCAGCGCTGGCCCGAGGATCGCTGCTGGACCGCCTCGCTCCAAAAATAAATAAATAAACGAGAACTTCTCCGTCCTTCGACCTCTTTTCTGTTTCTCCACCTTCCAGCTGCATCTGCTCCTTTGACTCGCCGCTATCTATTTCTCTCTCCGTCCCCCCACCCCCCCCCCTCGTCCTCGGTTCTGATTGTGTCTGCGCTCGGGCCACGGGCTCAGCGATGCATGCTCAGTAAATTAGAGAGAACACGAGCGTCAGTCAGCCGGGCTCCGGCGAACACCCGCATCCCTCCTGACCCCGGGGCCAGTTAATTTTCTGCTTAATTTTGTGGCAGTCAGTTTGCATTTTGGGACGATTACGTGGCAGAAAATTAACAATAAATAACAAATGTGGTGTGAAAGCCCGATCCCACAGCCCGGCGTGTCTCTGAGCAGGAGCCGGGCCGCTCTCCGGCCTCGGCTTCCTGTCAGGCCTGTAATGGAAACGTCTGTAATTCTTCGTAATGTAATTGTGGCGTGACACGAGGCAACGCGCCGAGAAGTACATCCTTAACTCCGCTCGAGCCTTTTATAACGCCGCTGCCCCCCCGGCCTACATTTGATTAAACTTCACATCTTCTTCTTCTCCCCCCACCAGAGTACTTGCACCGCATGGAGACAGAGGAGGACCAGGAGATGGCCCAGATGCCAGGTAAACGTTCCCCTGATTGAAATCTAGAGTTCGTACAATAGTTCCACAAACAGGCGGAGGTAATTTAGCTTCGCCGAGTGAGTCCCGTCAACGGGCGGCGTGGTGAGTGACAGGAAGTCTGCTGCCGTGTCCCCCTGTAGGCAGGGAGAGCCCCCCCGCCAACGACACATCGGAGGAGGCGGAGGAGCCCATGGCTGTCCCAGAGGACCTGTCGGCCAACTCCAGCCAGCAGAACAACCGCGGAGACAAAGGTACGCGAGCGCCGCTCAGTCGGGGGAAACTTCACACAGCTGGAAACTCTCCGGGGGAATTAACGAGAACTTACGGAAGAAAACCTGGAGTTTAAAACAAAACATTCCTCAACGGGAATTAAAATATAGCTGTGCTCGGAAAAATCTTTAAATTAAGACGATTTCAAAATTGTTCTCTGAAATGAGAAGAAGTCAAAATGATGGACAGACGGACGTGTGGGGACAGACAAGACATGTACAGACAAATAAGACATGTAAGGACAAATGGGCATAAATAAGCTGATAGGACATGTAGGGACATATAGGACATGTAGGGACATATAGGGACATATAGGAAAGATAGGAGATGTAGGAACAGATAGGACAAGTAGGGACACAAGATGTATGGACAAATATGGCATAAAGAAACTGATGGGACATATAGAGACAGACAGGACATATAGAGACAGACAAGACATATAGAGACAGACAGGACATATAGAGACAGACAGGACATAGAGAGACAGACAGGACCTGTAGGGAAACTGATAATATTTTTAGGGTTGTAAACGGTTTTATTGTGAAATGTAATTTAACTTTTTTTACGTCGCCTAATTAAAAATAAACTGTTTATATTTTGTTTGGAAATGACAGTTTGTTTAAATGACCCTGAATTTCCAGTAAATTCCCATCATTCCCATCATTCCCATGGAAATGTTACTGTTTGGGAGTATTTCTAACATTTTCCAGCCAAAGTTTCCATAGAAAGTTTCTGGAAATGAACTCAGAGTTTTTGAGCCTCTTTCATAAATAAATTATGAATTTTTCTGTGAAGAGCGCCAACAATGAGCCTAAAACCACCGATCCACCGTCCCAACTCTGACGTTCCCAAAACATCCGAATCAAACCGGGTCGGTTAACGGAACATGTTGGGATCAAAAGCAGAACATCCACATTACATGTTGTTAAAACGTGTTCCTCCTCGGAACGTCCGGCGGGAGACGTTCTGCTGCTCCACATCCCCGGAAAAATCTACTTAAAGCTGCAACGAGACACATTTGGGTCATTGGCAGGAAAAATTTAAGTCCTTTGATCTCCAGCATGTCATTAATAACTGAATCTTGAGAAATAGTTGATGCGGTCTTGATTTGAGTTCGGGAACATCGAGAGGGGAACCAGACAGTGAAAACTCGTTTGTAGCGAACTTTACGGTTTTTTCGTGGCTCGTTAAGGTCCGGTAATTGTAAAAACAGATTTTCTGCTGGGTTTGCACCTCGGTCCACGTGCAAACAGGTGAGGACAACTGAGCATTTAATTATTCAGCACGGAGCTTTTGAAACGGCAAGCTGTAAATCCAAAGCACCGTGGAGGCGTTTGGACCGTTTGTCCTTCGTCTTGTTGCTTTGGATTCTAGAGCAGAGCGCTGAAAAGAGGCTGCTGCAGCATCGTTTCTGAAAAACTCTGTATTTCATGTCCACACGGAGTCATGGGGATAAGAATGCTCTGGTTTTCACTTGGGAAAGCTTTAATTTTCAAATACTTATTATCTTCATCCATAATTCTGTTTGTGTGTGAACACAAGATGCAAATGTGGCAGAAAAAGTCTGCGTTGTGTGGGCGGAGCCTGAGCGTGCCCTCTTCCTGTGTTTTTGACATTAATGTGAAGGTCTGCGCCACCCAACGCTGCGGTGAGGGCATTACATCATTCTGTTAGAATGTTCAGGTGCTTTCCCCAAAAACAAAACAAAGACATGCGTAGTGCCGAATCTAAGATTTTATACATTTATTATGAAAGAAGAGCGTGATTCATCCTAAGGTTGAACTTAAAACATCCATCCATCCATCCATCCATCCATCCATCCATCCATCCATCCATCCATCCAGCCATCCATCCATCCATCCATCCATCCATCCATCCA